AATCTTTTGTTTATAGTTATGGTTATTGCAGGAGCAACATATCCAGAAGTTTGCATGAGACAAACAGAGTTTCTTTTGTTGTTTGTTGTAGTGTGAAAAAAGAGGGCCAAATTTCCTCTTAAAGCCAGAGGAAATGGTAGGTGACAAACCAGATTGGAGAGAGAGGACAAGTGCTCATCAGCAGTGATTGTTAGGAGCTACAGAGGCAATAACAGTAAAAAAAAGCAGAGAGGAGTGATAACAGTAAGTAGACTGACAAAATAAGAGTCTCTCCGCAGTCTTGATGAAGAAATAGCTCTTATATATACAGCGATGAGAAGTCCTCGTCCAAGCCCATAGAACTGTGAGCACCAAACTTTCAAAAAGATTAATCTTCTGTATGTAGCTTATTTTAGATGTCACCTTGAAGAAAGGATATATTAGTGGTGGGTACTATTTTTTTTTTAACTATTTTTCTGCATCCTAGTATTAACTAATGAATTCAGTAATTGATTTAAAAATGGTTCTTTCTTTTTTTTTTTTTTTTGAAGATTTTATTTATTAGAGAGAGAGAGAGAGAGAGCAAGCACAAGCAGAGGGAGAGGGAGAAGTAGAGTCACCGCTGAGCAGGGAGCCCTTCATGACCTGAGCCAAAGGCAGACGCTTAACTGACTAAGTCACCTGTGCGTTTCCTTTTTTTTTTAAATGGTTGTGTTTCAGTTGTTGTGTTTTAGATATTATATTTGGTTTATTGAATCAAATGTGGTCCTATATATTTTTTAGAATATAAAATGTTAAAGATGGTAATGTATTCTTCAAGTTTTGTGCAGTTTTTAATCTTGCATTAATGCCTGATGTATACTTTTAAAGTTGCTGATACCTGAAATTCTACTGAAGTTAAAAATTAAGGACTTTTTGGAACAGCTAGCAAGGAAGCTATCAAAGATTATTTTCTAGGTTAGTGTCTAAAGAATGCAGGAGTCAATTTGAAGAGACCCTTTTGGCCAAAAATGGGACCATTTGACCATTAATCAGAGCAACTAAAATGGATTGAAATAGATCAAATAATGTTTAAATCTATGAAATAATGATACATGCACAAATTACTGTGTCACTACTTCAGGATAGTATGTAGTGAACTCATTATTTTGAGAACTGGTAAGTAAGGAGAAAATTTAGTTTAATTTTCTTGTAAACTATACTGCTGAGTAACCAAGTATATGTGGGCAATTTTCTTTTTGAAGTATTCTGACAAATGAAGAAGGGGTAAAATTTGAATATCACCATTTTATACCCACCTAATGGCTAAATAGTTCTGGGCACTGAACAATAGCAGACACTACACAAATAAAGAGACAACCAAATATTATGTGGTACTTGATGAAAACACTTACCACTGCTTTTTTTTTTTTTTTAAAGTAGGCTCTAGGCCCAACATGGGGCTCAAACTCAAGACCGTAAGATCAGGAGCTGCTAGCTATACCAGCTGAGCCAGTCAGGTGTCCCAGAACTCATCACTGCTTAATAAGTAGTGTTTGTTCTAATAAAAAGAATCAGGGGGCGCCTGGGTGGCTCAGTGGGTTAAAGCCTCTGCCTTCGGCTCGGGTCATGGTCTCAGGGTCTTGGGATCGAGCCCCGCGTCGGGCTCTGCTCAGCGGGGAGCCTGCTTCCTTCTCTCTCTCTGCCTGCCTCTCTGCCTACTTGTGATCTCTGTCTATCAAATAAATAAAATCTTAAAAAAAAAAAAAAAGAATCAGAATTTAGATAAAACCTTCACATCCATCAATTTATAGAACATACAGAAGAACAGGTTAAACAACACCATGGGAATTAAGTCAGCAAAATTCAGACTGGAAAACTACCAGGACAAAAATTGGGGGCAAGTAATTTGATTTCTTCAATTTAAAAATGGCTCTTTAAAAAAAAAAAAAAAAAAAAGATCCTGGGGGCACCTGGGTGGTTCAGTCGGTGACTGAATGACTCTTGATCTTAGCTCAGGTCTTGATCTCAGGGTTATGGGTTCAGGCCCTGTGCTGAAAAAAAATACATCCTGTGGCTTTCAGGAGACTCAAAAGACATCTCAATCAACAATAGTAAATGGATCTTATTAGGATCTTTCTACACACAAAAAATTATAACACTTGTAACAGTTGGAAATTGATGATATTTGATGATATAAGGCATTGCTTATTTTTTTTCATGGTGGTTTGGCTGTGTTTTTTAGTTCTTGTCTTTTAGAATACGTATGGAAAATTTTATGAATTAAATTATTTTATGTCTGAGGGGTGCCTGGGTGGCTCTAAGTTAGTTAAGTGTCTGCCTTTGGCTCAGGTCATGATCCCAGGGTTCTGGGATTAAGCCTCACATTGGGCTCCCTGCTCAGTGGGAGTTCTCATCCTCCTTTGCCTCTGCCCCTCCCCGCAGCTTGTGCTCTCTACCTCAAATAAAATCTTTATAAATAAACATATAAATAAGTAATTTTATGTCTTAGATTTGCATCAAATTAGCATGGAGGTGAGGAAGTATTGGTGCAGGTAGATATGAGACTAGGTTCACCATGAGTTGATAATTGCTGAAGGTGGGCAATGAGTACCTGGCCATTTATTGTACTGTTTTTTCCTACCTCTGCATATGTTTGAAATTTTCTGTAATGTTTGAAGAACTAAGGAAAACCTTGAAAAAAATCTAGACTCAAATCATGGAAATATTTATATTCTGAGGGAGGATTTTTTTCAACTGTGAAGTAGGGACAGCTGCGTGGCACAGTAGGTTAAGCATCTGCCTTTTGCTCAGGTCGTGATCCTGGGATCCTGGTATTGAGTCCTGCATCAGGATCTTTGCTCAGAGGGGAGCCTGCTCGTCCCTCTCCCCGATGTTCCCCCTGCTTGTGCGCTTGCACGCACTCACTCTCTCTCTCTGACAAATAAATAAATAATATTAAAAAAAAAAAAAAAACTGGAATAGTCTCTCTTTACACACTTTAGCACAGCTTATAAAAGCATTGGATCAGTGGGTGGGAAAAAAGCATTAGTGGCATATTGGTTTGTTAGGTAATAATCACAAAAGATACCTTGGATAGGACTGACAACACCAGTGGCCACAGTAAACAGGATGCTTTTCTGGAGGGTGCGTTTCTTAGGAAAATTTGCTTTAGTCCTTGCTTCACTGATTTGGCTAATAGGCTACAGATTTTTCTTTATTATTTTTTTAATATTTATTTATTTATTTGCCAGAGAAAGGGAGAGTGAACACAAGTAGGGGGAACAGCAAGCAGAGGAGAGGGAGAACCAGGCTCCCCGCTGAGTGGGGATCCCAATGTAGGACTCCCAAGTCTGGGATCATGACTTGAGCCAAAGGCAGCTGCTTAACAACTGAACCACCAAGTCACCCCTAGGCTACAGATTTTAATGTGCAAGGAGGTGCACTGTTATATTTGCTTTACTTTAGTGTAAGAGTAAGCCTTTAAAAAATAGAGGCAAATGCCCAAAAACATACTGGGCCTTCAACAATTATTTGCCAAATAAGGGAAACAGTAAGATGACAGAGATCACAAGTAGGCGGAGAGGCAGGCAGAGAGAGAGAGAGAGAAAGAGAGAGGAGGAAGCAGGCTCCCTGCTGAGTGGAGAGCCTGTTGCAGGCCTCCATCCCAGGACCCTGGGAACTTGACCTGGGATCGTGACCTGAGGTGAAGGCAGAGGCTTTAACCCACTGAGCCACCCAGGCGCCCCTGGAAGATCATTATTAAGCAGTTAGAAAGGTTTCACCCTCAGGGTGCGCGGCTGGCTCAGTAGGTAAAGCATGTGGCCCTCAATCTCAAGGTGGAGTTCAATCCCCAAGTTGGGTGTAGAGATTACTTGGGGGGGGGGAAAGGAAAGAAAGAAAAGTTTCAGCCCTTAAATGCTTGACTCTCCACTCAGAAAAACTTGACTGTCTCTAATTATATACCTTCATTATTTCAGCTAACACTTTAAAAAATATGTAAATTATTCACAAGATGTTCAAGGTCTAGTACTCATAATTTAAAAAAAAGAAAGAAAGAAAGAGGGTCACATGAAAGTAAAGACAGATTTAGTTTTCTGCCACTTCAGTGCAAGTGTGGAATATATTTTTCTTCAGTATTTCAGCCCTCCAAAGCCCACAGTCAACCAGATGCAGCAGTTGAAGTGCTTTGTAATTAGTCTTCTATTCTTCCCTCAATTAGAATTCCTGTGTACTGAGGAATCTCACCAAATGTTGATCTAATTATCTGATTAAAAAAAATCAGTGACAGTATGAATGACTGATTAATATAATTCACTTATTGATTGTGAAATGAAAGAGGAATAAATCTCTAGCTAGCAGAAGGACACAGGGTAATTTTGAGTAGAAAGCCCTCCTTACCTCCTCACTCTCAGAGTTCTCTACTCTGAAAGGTACATAATGCCAACATTTTTTTTAACATGTAACCAGCATATACAAAATAAAAAGTATCATATGTCAGAGATGTTTCAGAAGAAGTGAATAATGAGAATGTCTTATCTGATTTTCCATATTTTAAGTTTCCAGGGGCACCTGGGTGGGCTCAGTGGGTTAAACATCTGACTTTGGCTTAGGTCATGGTCTTAGGGTCGTGGGATCGAGCCCTGTGTCAGGTTGCATGAGGAATCTGCTTGTCCCTCTGCCTCTCCCTTTGCTCTTGATCGTGCATGCTCTCTCAAATAAATAAATGAATAAAATCTTTTTAAAAAGACTTTTAAAAATAAAATTTCCTATATAAATAAATTTACAAATTAGAGAATAAGAATATTATTATTTTTTCTTTACAAAGCGTAGTCTCCATACACCTAGGGGTCAGTGAAACACCTCTACAGAGAGGGTGGGTTGGCATGTGCTTTTGGGTATTTAGCAGAATGAAAGTTTTATTGTTACTCTGTAAAATTATTTTCTTTCTAACATAGTAGGTATGTTTTATTGGGTATAAAATCTTTGTTGTGAGTTTGTTGGACATTAATTTTTTTTTCTTTTTTCTTTTTTTTTGGTAGAATGGCAGAATGTAGTGACATTGGGAAGCTTTTCAAACATGGTTCGCTATAGTCACCCATTTATTTGTACACTGAGTCAAGTGAAGTCATACTCCACAAATGTTCAGAAGGAAGGACAGGGATCACAGACTCTCAGAGTGGAAAAAGTGCCATCATTTGATGAAACAGGTGTGTATAAATCTTTTAAAATCATTTTTTTTTCTATATACTGAAATAGCTTGTGTAAGATTATTTGTCCCTTGAATGTTTGATGGAACTTATTTACAAAACTACCTGGGTTAATGTTTATTTTGTGGAAAGCTATTAAACTGCTAATTTACTTTCTTTTAATTTTTCTGCTTTTGACTCAGTTTTGGTAAGTTCTATTTTTTTCTGGGAGTTTGTCCACTTAAACTAAATTTTTAATTTATTGGCATCAAGTTCATAATAGTCTCTGTATACTCTTAGCAGCATTTATAGTTATATCTTTTTTTTTATTCTTTTTTTTTTTTTTAAGATTTTATTTATTTGACAGAGAGAGATCACAAGTAGAGAGAGAGAGAGAGAGTGAGAGAGAGGAGGAAGCAGGCTTACTGCCTAGCAGAGAGCCCGATGTGGGACTCGATCCTAGGACCCTGAGATCATGACCTGAGCTGAAGGCAGAGGCTTAACCCACTGAGCCACCCAGGCAGCCCTTTTTTTTTCATTCTTAATGGTGTTTGTCATTTTCTTGATTAATCTTGCCAGAACTCTGTCCATTTTCTTATTTTTCCAAGTAGTATCTTTTTACTTTGAATATTTATATTATATGTTTGTTTCCTGTTTGGTTAATTTTTATTCTTACTTTAATTATATCCTCCTGTTTTCTTTGTGCTTATTTTGTCATTCATTTTTTAATGATCAGATAGCTGTATTGTTCATTAATTCTGTACCTTCCTCTTCTTCTAAAGTAGGTGTTTAAGCCACAATAGCTCTGGTGGATTTGACAGTCTTTCCTTCAACAATTGTCCCTAAAATTTCGCTTTATATATTTTGTAGCTATGTTATTAGATACATAAACATTTAGAGTCATTACATAACACTGATGCATGACACCCTTTCTTTTTATGTAACAACTCTTTTTTTTTAGTGTCTCTACCAGATGTTATTAGTATTTGCCTGTTTTCCCATCCTTTAATTTTAACCTTTTTTTGTCCTGATTTGATAATCTTTGTCTTATAATTAGAAATTTAGTCTGTTTATATTTACTGTTATCACTGATATATTTAAGCATATTTCTGCCATTGTCTCATGAGCTTCCTTGTGGGTTTTTAAAATTTTTTTTTAATTTTATTTTATTTTTTAAAGATTTTATTTATCTATTTGTCAGAGAGAGAGAGAGTGAGAGAGAGAGCGCATAGGCAGGCAGAAGTAAAGGAAGAAGCAGGCTTCCAGCTGAGCAGGGAGCCTGATGTAGGACTTGATGCCAGGACCCTGGGATCATGACCTGAGCCGAGGGAGATGTTTAACTGACTGAGCCGCCCAGGCGTCCCTGGGTTTTTGTTTTTGTTTTGTTTTTTTTAATTTCTTTTTTGCCTTTTTTTTTCTTTTTTCTCACTGCGTTATCCTTTCTCCCCCATGTGCACACACATACATGCACTAGCTTGGGAGTTAAATACTCTATGTACTTCAGAGTCTAAAGGTAATTAAAAAGCTTAACAGTTTTTTCTGAAAAATATAAAGAACTTAGAATCCTTTAATTCTGGTCACTTTCTCCCAACTCACAGGCTATTTATTGGCTAGTATTTTGTGTCTGCTCTGATCTATCCCTTCTATACAATATACATCATTATTTGTTCAAATTTCTCTAAAATCCCTGTTAACCACCTTTTCTTATTTCTCTGGTCTTTCTGTCTGATGTAGTACATCTTATACAAGTTCCTTTAGGTGAGGATCTTTTTATGGTAAAGGCAATTTAAGATGTTATTCCAGTGTCTTTTGGGTTCTGTTGCTGTTGAGAAGTCACGTATCATCCTTTTGTTCTCATGTTTTTTCTATTTTATTGCTTTTTAAATTTGATTAACTTTATTTTGAAAGTCTTTTTCTTTGGTGTAAACTGCAATTATACTATGTATGTATTTCTGCATACTAGGTATGTATTTCTGTGTATTTATCCTGCTTGAGATTTGTTGGGCCTCCAGGAACTGAGGATTAGTATTTTTCTGTAATTCTCTGTCACTCTCTATTACCTTTTCTTGGTTCTCTCTCTCTTTTTAAAAAATGTATTATTTATTTAAAGATTTATTTATTTGAGAGAGAGACTGAGCGAGCTCATGGGGAGAGTCAGAGGGAGATGGAGAGAGAACCTAAGTAGATGTGGAGTCTGGTGTGCGGGTTGATTTCATCACCCTGAGATCACAACCTGACCTGAAACCAGGAGTCTCACTCACGCTTAACCGACTTTGCTACCCAGATGCCCCTTTGCTCATTTTTTTTTAAGATTTTTAAGTAATCTATACACCCAACATGGGGCTTGAACTCTAAACCCTGAGATCAAGAGTCATATGCTTCACTGACTGAGTCAGTTTTCAGTTATCTTTTATCTCTTTTTGGAACTCTAAGAATTATGTTAGATCTTTTTGCTTTATTTTCCATGTCTCTAAATCTCTCTGTCGTATTTTGTATCTCTTTATCTTTCTGGCCTGAATTCTGGATTATTTTCTTAGATCTGCCTAGTTTGCCAATTCCCTTGTTAGTTAGCCTCTGGTCTACTGGTTGATATGTATGTTGGGTTTTTGTGGTTTTTTTTTTTTTAAGGTTTTATTTATTTGACAGAGAGAGAACACAAGCAGTGGGAGAGGGGGAGGGAAAAGCAGGCTTCCCGCTGAGCAGGGAGCCTGAGGCAGGCCTCAGCCTGAGCCAAAGGCAGACACTTAACCTACTGAGCCACCCTGGCACCCTGTATGTTGGGTTGTTAATTTCAATGATTATATTTTTCATATCTAGAAATTGTTTATTTTTCACCTTGCTTATTTATTCTCTTTGTTCCTTAAGTTTTCAAACTCCTGTTTTATTACTTACCATATTAAATGTGTCTATTTTATATTCTATAAATGAAAATTGTATCTGAAATTTTTTGGTTCTTACTGTATTATCTTTTTATTTTGTGCACTCATTCATGATGCCATATCTTTGTTTTTTATTGAGAATTATTCATTTTCCATGGAGTTTAGTATTTTGGAACTATTCGAAGTCTCTCTGGATTGAAGATGCATTTCTGCATAGTTTGCTTGTGCCTCACTTAGCTGCTAGGAATACAGCTTGGGACCAAATTAACTTAAATTCTTTGCTCTAGACTTTTTAGACCACTTTGGTAGCATGAATTCAGACTGCAGACTTGTGTGAGGGCTGACTTAGCCTTATGTTTTTCATCCCCACTATTTAACACCAAAGGAGAGGTTGGCATGCTTTCTTGCTGTTCCCTTCTGTGTGTGTGTGTGTGTGTGTGTTTTTTAGTTCACAGTTATACTGTCTGTCTAGCTTTTTTTTCTGGGTGTCTCCTGTTAGATGTTCCATCTGGAATAGAATGTAGTCGTCTTCTCCTGTCTCTCATGCCGCTAGCAGCAATGGAAGTAGAAGCTCAAAGACTATAAACCTCAACAGAGGGACACCTGGGTGGCTCAGTTGTTAAGCTCTGCCTTGGGCTCAGGTCATGATTCCAGGGTCCTGGGATTGAGTCCCACATCGGATTCCCTGCTCAGTGGGAAGCCTGCTTCTCCCTCTCCCACTCTCCACCACTTCCGCTTGTGTTCCCTCTCTCACTGTCTCTCTCTGTCAATTTAAAAAAAAAAAAAAACTTTAAAAAAAAACCACCTCAACAGAAATCTTAGGGGAAATGGTGGTTGGCTTTGGTGTTCTCAGTCTGTAGAGGTTCAGCTTTCCTTTTGTTTTTGCCCTCTTTGCATCATTTTTTGTGAGCTTAGCGATGTGTTTGAAAAGATTTTGTCCAGGATATCTAGTCTGCTGTGCAGCATTAAAATGAAGTCCTTTATTCATTTATTTATTCAAGAAGTATTTTACTTTTAAGGGTTTTATTTATTCGTTTTGGAGATAGAACGGGGGGGGGGAGCAGAGGGAGAGGGATAAGCAGACTCTGCTCTGAGGGCAGAGCCACACTCAGGGCTCTATCCCACATCCCTGAGATCATGACGTGAGTCAAAATCAAGAGTTGGACGCTCAATTGACTTGGCCATCTAGGCACCCCAAGATGTATTTATTGAACGCTTCTTATATGGCAGCAAAATAGAATGACTCTGAGTTTATTACTGAAACGAAAATTAAAACAAAGTTAAGCAAACAAAAATCATACTGCATGGTAAATACCACGGTGGAGGAAATACTGTGTGCTGCAGAAGTACTTAGAGGGGTATTGAACTGAGTCTTGAATGGTTGAGAAAGTTTTCCATGAGGAAATGTTACCTAGTTAGGGACCTAAAAGAAAATTAGGTATTGGTGTGATGAATGGTAGAGAAAGGCAAAACTGCAAGTGTTTTAGTGTAATTAGGTTAGTGAATATGGGACCTGGTGCTGATGTTGGTAGTTTTGAGAGCACAAGGGATGAATATCAGGCGGTCAGCAAAGTCAGATCAAGGTTTTGTTGAGGAATTTGGACTTTGTTTTCTAGACACTGGGAATCTGTTAGAGTATTTTAAGTAGGGGAAGTACTTGATCAGATTTAAAATTTAGAAAGATAATAGTTGCTGACTAGAAAACCCATTGGAAAGGAAGGAGAGTGAGAGCAGTATTACAAATGAGGGTCTAGACTAAGATAATGGCGATGCTTTTTTTTTTTTTTTTTTTTTAAATTTTTTTTTTTTTATTTGACAGACGGAGATCACAAGTAGGCAGAGAGGCAGGCAGAGAGAGAGGAGAAAGCAGGCTCCCCGCGGAGCAGAGAGCCCGATGTGGGGCTCGATCCCATGACCCTGGGATCATGACCTGAGCTGAAGGCAGAGGCTTTAGCCCACTGAGCCACCCAGGCGCCCCTGGCGATGCTTTTTTTAAGTGAGTAGATGAACTGGAGATTTAGGAGCTGAATAATTAGGACTTGGTGATTGAATTTAGGAAAAAGAGAAGAGAATCAAGTAAAGCATAGTGCCTGGTTACTGACTGGATTGGATGATTGTGTAGATGATTCATTGATTTCTAAA